ACCAATGTGCTGTGCTAAGGTTGACATAATTTTTGATCTACCAAAAATAATATAGAAAATGCTCCCTGAATATTGTTGATTTCAAATGTGGTTGGCAGCAAAATCCAGCTTGCAGCAAATGATTGAGCACATCTGTGGTGAAATGCAGTGACAACTGCTGAGTGCCACTGCGTACCTTATAGCAATAAGACAATACAAGCAGCCTGATAAGAGCAACAAATAAAAAAAAAATTGTATAATGTAATAAAGCTTATAACAAAATATAAATTAATGGTACAGAGGGTTGCAGACTGCTTTTAATGATTACATACAATCTAACATGAAATAAGAACCATAAAAAAGGGCAATCAAAAGAAGATAATATAAATGTTCCCTGTGTACTAACATTGGGGACACTCTGTGCTGTTATACAGCTATCACTTTTCAGAGGGGTTGGGCAGCACATATTGTAAACCCCTGCACTGTTTTGCAATAACACAGTGATAATGACTAGACAAATATTTTTTAACTTTTTTTTCAATTTTTTCATATTTATTTAAACAAAGGTGTTGGCATAATTACTATTTAAAAATATAAACAAGGTGAAATCTGTGCTGGTTTCATTAGCCATTTCCTAAATCAGGCAGGGAACCAGGGGTGATGAATTCCTGTTTGTGAAGGACTTCAGGAACGTTCCTGTGTGTCAGGGTTCAGGGTGATTTAAATCATGGTGAAATGAAATGTGTGCCACAGGAAGCCCTGCCCAGCAGATGTACTTCTGGAATGCCCCCGACCTCTTTTGTTAATTCCCCTCGGTCTTAGTGATCATCAGTCTGTCACTACTGTGTCTCTGGGTGGGGTCATCTACACTTTTTTACACAGTGTAGTTGGCCTTGGATTTTTAGAATCCTGGCAACTGTGAGAAAGAGCTTTCCAGCCAATGCCTACTCCTCTGGTGAAGAGAACTCAAGGATCTTTGGTTGTCTCTTACTGCAATTCGATTTGTGACTTAAATCACTAAATTCCAATTAACGTCTTGAAAAACAATGCCTTCTGAAATTCAAATGCAACTGTTTCTATGTTGAACTCCTTTTGAAAAGTCTTCCATGTTTTGAACAGCAGAAAACCTAGAAAGTCAATGAGATTATTGTCCCTAAAAATGACTGTACTAGTAGGACAGATCAAGAAATATCCCTGTCTTGCAGTTGTGACTGATAAACACCACATTACTTATCAGTTCTCCACTAGAAACATGCTGCTTTCAAAACATAACAGTATAATATGTGAGTATGCTTCTTGTTCTTAACTACAGTAGCATTTGGTTAACTAAGCAACAAAGCAGTATTGACTTTAATAAAATGAGCATCACTTTAATAGGGATGTCAGAATTTTCCATTGTTAAATTGAGCTTTTGAAAATGTCATCACTGTACTGTGGGGATCAGAATGCTGGTTGTTCACCATTTCAGGACACAAGTCTTCAACGTACTGTAGATGAATGACTTGGTCTGTTTGGGAGTACACCACTTGGGCACCATTTTGTACTGTAATTAAAAGGTTTGAAATCCAGATGAAGACATACAGTATGTAGACTTACACAGTGAAAAAAATATATTGTATCAGTGTTTTTGTTCTCCAATGACTTTAACATACATTTCTTAAGACATGGTTTGTATGCCTGCCTGAAGTAAATCAAGTATTAATATATCTGCAAATGAATATATCACAAAAAGTTTTATTAAGCATTGTCTGCCTAGTACAAGTGCTACAGTAGATGCTACAAGACGAATGCAGCATTTTGTTTATGTGTGAACTCTGAGAAGACTGAAATTATTTTTACTGGCTCTCCTTATCAGCCTCATAAAGGTGTCGCCTTTAGTTTTAGTATTGATGGTCATAGAACCAGTCTAAGCGTTCAGGTTAGGAACTTTGTGGTTGGTTTTGTCCTGAACCTTATATTTGAAGCACAACACTCACATTGTTGTGAAAGTGAATTATTTAAACTACATATCTGTATACTTCTTCCAGTCTGACGCAGAAAATGCATGTCTTTTCCAGCCCTGATTACTGTGATTCAGTGTTTGCTGGTGGATCCAAATACGTTCTTCACAAGTTTCAGCAAGTTCAAAACTTAGCTGCCTAGACTTTAACCAAAACCACAAAGAATGATCTTATAACACCTGGTGTCCTCACAATGACTTCCTGTTGATTTCAGAATAAAATTCAAAATACTGCTGATCACTTTAAGGGCTTCAACTGACAACATTGATGAACTGTTAACTCCATATAAACCTGCAAATCTTTTGCTCTCTTCAGTGTCTGGGATTCTTGGAGTTATAAATACAGGGCTCTGAACACAAGGAGACATTGCTTTCTGTTCTTCTCCAAGACTGTTATCTTTCTGGGGCATTTCGTAACCTACTGTACAATTCAGTCAAAACTTTAAAATCCTGTCTTAAAGCCCACATTTATATTCTATCTTTAATTATATATGTACACTTGTCTCATTCCATAGATGGATTTAGTGTACCTTGAGATGTACAGTGAAATAAAGTTTCATTATTGTTTTACTTACATTTGATGTGTGTGTGTGTTGTGTTAGTCTTTACTTGTATTGTTGCTACACTAACACATACAGTGCCAGCCCCAAGGATTTGTCTTAGTGTGCACTATTTTGTGTTTTGAGATGAAGTCTTATAGTGAATTTGCTATGTCAGTGGTTGAAGCTATAGTATCTTTCCTTCAATTACCCAACGAGAATTTGTATCCTAGAATTATTTTTTAAAAAAACCATACCTGGCTTATAATAGCAATAACAACCAAGAAAACACACACAAAAAAAACAGGGAATACCTTGTGCATTCTTTCGAATGACTAGACATCTCTGACATGTTCTGCACAACAACATAGCTGTTGAAGGCTACATAATTTCTGTTTTGAAAGTATAACATAACTTAGCTTACAGTGGTCTTTAGACAAAGTGTATTTAAACCTTGTGCTATTTGTGTTTAATCCCTCTGTAAAATATAACACACAATAGCAGGCATCTGGCAAAACGAATTGGTCTCTTTTCTTGCACTCAGAAATATACTGCCTGTATTGCATTAGGGTTGCTGAGGCAACAACAATGTGAGAGATTTAGGTACAGCATGTATGTAAGAAGGCAGAAGTGCATGAAATCATCTTGTCTGTTTATTTTTTACATGAAAAAAATATTTTTTCATTAGCTACCTTTTTTTATTTTGCTTATGCCTATATGCGAGTGGAAAGCTGGATTACGTGTAGGAACGCCACAGCTTCACAACAAATCATAGAGCTGATAACTGCTATGACAGTTTCTCTTGAGAACATAAGATACAGAGTCTTATTGCAATCACTGGAGGTTTCAGCTATACAGATGTTTAACTTTTCACATCTAGTTTATGAATTTTATGAATTCAGAGCACCTGGAGTTGAGCCAACAAAAATACCCATGTTCCAGTAAAAGCAGGCATCTGACATATGCATTATTAGTCTACTAGCCTCACCAGCAAACCAGTGGTATCTACCATACCGTTTACCATACAAACACAAAACACTCTTTGTAATGCAAATTGTATAATTGCAGTTATATAAGCTCCAGCGTTTTGCAATATGGAGTCAAGGCTTATTGCATGTTGAAAATTAAGCAAAAATAGTTTGGTTTGACTACAGTTCCCCTTCATTGCAGCTTTATTGCAACAAGGCCAGGAGAATGCTTTTTTGTGTTTGTTCTATTCAAAGGAAGGAATTAATTCTCAGTAGCTCTTTGATTGTTGATTATTGTGGTGAATTGAAAGTTGCAAAATGTAAAGTTATGAGTCCCCAATTACTACTCATACATCTCTTTCTGTGTGAATTAAACATTCATGAAGGCAGTTGGCTGGAGTTCACAGTTTTGGCTTGAAAAACAAGATGCTTTAATTTACATCTTTAACTAACAATATGTTCAGTCCATGTGTACATTGACAACTGTAGTAAACATTCTGATGATGATGTAATGTAGATCAAAATATTTACTAATTTTATAATTATTTTAATAGCTAATAATTGTAAATGTTGATCTCTACATAATGTAGTCAATTTGAATATTTTAATTTTAGTTTATGGTTCTGTTGGAGAGGTTTTTCTATATATTTTTGGGAAAAAATGAAATGAAAGGCAAATATTTACATAATGAATGAACATTTTTATATGTAGAAAAATAAACAGTTCAGATGTATGCATAATTTGAAGATGCAAGGTGTACAGTTAAATCTTGTAGCAAACTGATTTTATACATCTAAATGCATGTTGTCCTTTTCAAAATATCACCATGGAGGGGTTATACACTATTTTAGTGATACTTGCAATTAATTTTTTTTAAACTTATTTGAATATCCTTAATGACAGCAAATCTTAGTTCTTCGCGGCCAGGTTTCAGTCTTGGAAAAAACAAATTGTCGTTATTGGTCAAGCCTGTATTTTAACAGGTCGATGAGCTGGGTAGTATATGTTTTACACTGTGAGCCACAGAAGCCACATACTGGGCCACAGTTCACTCATTTTGCATTGTTCTCCCCTCAGATGATTCTGTGGCACTCTTATTTATTGAAATTGAGCTATTTAGCCTCACCAATAGTAAATTGTCCATGCAAACCAGTTACCATAAGCTTCTCACATGCAGATTTAATTTGCAGTGTTTCATTTCTCACCCAATCTGAAATACTTCGCTCTAAATAATGGTCACTCATGGTTACACTGACACGTAACAACACGCACTTCTATTCAGCACAGACACTAACACAAGACTAGCATTAAAAGTACTGCTGTTGCAAGCTTAACACGTTCCAACATGTCCCTCCTGGGGTAACTTCTCTTGCACTTCCCCATGACACTTAGTCTTATTATAGTCACACCTTGCACAGTACATGCTACTTTTATTGTCACAGTGTAAAGATGTTGAAATACTACATCCCAACGTCTACACATCAAATTCACATGCATTTCTTTTGTTTTAAACAGAAATCATCAACCCCCAGAACAAAGAACTTTCAGCTGCTCTGTGTACCTGAGGAGATCACAGTAATCCTTTGATACATCAGGTGAGATTATGGCACCAGTTCCCTCATGCCTGTTTCTTTTGCATTATCTCAGTCAAGTAATTCCATACTATTTGCAGCCAGTGTTTTCCCAAAAGCATGTGCTACCATATTGATAAAACTAGTAAGATTTCTGAACACTACAAATATTTCAAACAGTACAGGTTGAATTTTCACCTTAACTTTTTTCTTAGAGTTTTAAAAATCTAAACATATTCAAGTAGCTGATAAATTACAATAGGGAAATAATTATTTTTTCATGATTATTCTCAATGATATCTTCTAGCTTGTTCTATGTGGTTTTAGATTAATCTGCTAAATAGAACTGAACATGAGTTTAAGAGAGTTTAAGTAGAACATGTTGTTTGAAATAGTCTGATGATTTAGTAGCAGTAAGAGTAATGAAGCATACTTACATACTTGCTTCATTTTATTGTCCCAGATGGAAAACTTTGCTTTGCAGGCAGGTAAAAGACATAACAGGTTAATAGCTGTGGGAATAAATGCGAACTTAGTTCTATTTCACTTGAATCTGGGTAGTCTAAATCTATGTCCAGACGTAGGGATCTGAAATTGACTATGTACTGTATGTAATTCAAAGTTGCATGTATTAAGGTTACCAAACCAGGCTACTGCAGTGAATGTTAGGACAGAATCAATACAAGTTCTATAGAATAAAGTCATGATTGTACTACACACATTAAAAGAACAGGGTTTCTCAGAATAAACAATCACTGTTAGCTCTTCTCACATACAGAATAGTAAAGTAAACATTAAGCAAATGTAATGATGTCTGTCCTCAGAAGGGCTTCTATAGCAGTCTGTATAAATGTATAGGATGGGGCACAGCACACTGTCCTGAAGAGACCCAGTGCTGTTCTGATATAGGACCATTTCCCCTTGCTCTTAGTGGACTGCTAGTCAAAAAGTCTAAGATCCAATCTAAAATATTAAAGTTTAGATTAAAAATTGAGATTAATCTCTCTACTAACTCTCTACTGGGAACTTCTAGATGTGAATATATACAGATGCAGCAACTCAGAAGTAATGTAATGGTAGCATCTTCGACTCCTCATTTAGCCCTGTAGGCAAATTCCATGGATTCATTTTCTCAAAAGACTTCATTACTAAAGAGGTCAGTGCCAGTGGTTTGAAATCATTTAATGTCTCAAGGTATTTTTGTATTGCAACTGGTATAATTGTTGCCTGTTTTCAAATTTTGGGTACTGTCTGCTGATTCAGAGATATTTTGAGAACATAATGAAACATAGTACTGAGCTGCTCAGCGTATGACCTCAGTACCTGCACAGTGATGTTATCAGATCCAAGACATTTCCTGACTTTTGTTTTTTTTTAAAGCCTTTGAAACAGTCCGTATTTAATTCAGCCTTGGTTGAAGCAGTGAGCTTCTCTTTAAGTTCCCTGATTTCACCACTAAAGTCACTTGTGAAGTTTAAAGTAAAAACTCTTTAGCCTTGTTTAGAAGTACACAAATACATTTTATTTTAGGAGAGTAAGAGAAATTATTATATTAGGAGAAAGGGTGAAACAGGTTAGAATAAATTATGATTTGTAAAAGTGAATACCCTCTACCTGTACTCTTTATTTAATTGCTTCTAGTAGAGGGTAGGATTTATGAAGGCATAGAAGTCTTGAAGAGAACATATATTTTTTAAGAAACTCAAATAGTACATAATTTACTATGCTTTAGGTTTAAATTTGTTTAATCCTGCCCTCCTCCCTCTCAAAAAAAACAAAACAAAACGTATTTTTCTTTATAGTAAAGTAATTTTTGTTTGTAGTCATGAGATTAAAATCTAAATGATAAGTACAATATAATGTACTTATCACATGCATGTACCTGATTTTAGTAGAACAAAAACAGACTTTGTATGCACCCCAGTGATTTCAAATGTCCAAAACTATTGGAACACTTTGACTCTCAAGTACATTTCTGAATGTAAAAGCCAGCATTGGGTTGCATATCCCTTTGAGGCAATAACTACGTGAAGTTTCTAACCCGTTGAGTTCACTTAACTCTTTGTGTAATTATTTAAGATGTTTTGCCAAGCCTTTGCTGTTGGCCCTTTCAGGTCTTGGCTACTTGTGGAGTGTTTTGAGTTTTTTTCTTCAGCACTTGCATTCTCAATTTGATTTGAATCTGGAGATTGACTTGGACAGTTTACAATTTTCCACTTTTTTCACCCGATGAACTTCTGGGTTGCATTGGCCATATACAGTATTTTGTATATTTAATTTATGGCAATATACCTTGTGAAGAACTGCCCAATAAGTACCAAAGTATGTTCTTCTGCATAAGCATACAGAAATGTTCTGTACACTTCAGTATTAATATTGTCGATGCCATCGTTAGTTAAAGGATTTGACATTAGCTCCACCATGTTTCATAGGTAGGGTGTTTCATAGGAGGTTTTGTGGAACGTCCGTATTGTCTTTGTTTCTACACACTTTAACCTGTCATTTGGGTAAAAGTTAACTTTGGTCTCATCTGTTTATAAAACAGTTCCAAAACTTTCCTGGCCCATCTTTGTACTTTGAGTACTTCTAATCTGGTATAATCTAAATCTTCTTAAATCTAATCTAAACTACTTGGAACAAATGAAAGGTTTTGATTTTGCAATGTAGTGTTTTTTTATTCTGCTGTCTCAAACACTAACACACTATGGATTTCGGGGTTTTCACTGACAGCACTGATAATTTATGTGGTGTCATCTACAGATGTTTTTTTTTCTTGGCCATTCCAGTTTTTGCTGATTGCTAATAATATTTGTGGTTTCTTTCTTCTATATTTCACATTGTTGATTTCTGCATGCCCAGTTTCTGTTCTATGGTTTCAATTGTACTTTTCTTTCATTTTTACAATTGCCTGTTTTTCTAATCCCTCCATCAATTTACTTGCGGCTTTACCCAAAAGAAGGTCACAGGGGAGCCGGAGCTTATCCCTGGAAGCAGCGGGCACAGGGCGGCGTACACCTTGGAGAAGGACGCCAGTCCATCTAAGGGCACACACATAGACACAAACGCACACACTCACACAATATGGCTAGTTAGTCTTTTGACTGTGAGGAGAAACTTGAGCAAGGAAACTCATGAGATCATAAACACTCTGATTGCACCCAAGCACTGCTAACTAATGTGCCACCATGACACTCGTAAAGCTACAAATGAGATTTGAACCTGTGCTCCTGGAAGCATTTTTGTTTCCAAAACAGCAGTTTAGCCCATGGAGCCATCTGGAATCACCCCTACAGCCTCCAACCACTAAACTAAAAGCAAAACAGGTTGATATTCACAGCTGTTTCACTCTTATTCAACAACAAGCACTTGATAAATGGTATATTCTTTAGAATCATACTTATCAGTAATTTTTCATTTTTTTCGATAGGCAATTATTATTATTAGAGTTCATAGTGAAAATTGTTTAGACTTCATTGTTCCAATACAGAAGGAGGACAATGTGTTTGCAAGATTATTAATATTTTTATAGTAACATATTTCTATTTGTATGTCAACATAAATCAAAACAATGTGATTTTAGAATTTGAACTTAATATAATATTGAAAGTAGTGTTGTGTTTAGACATAACTATATACTGTTTACAATTTTATTTAAATACATTTATGGTATGGTCAGTGTTCTATTGGCTGGTTACAAAAGTTGCGTTTGACAGTTGAACTATAACATAACAACTTCAAAGCCCTAGATACTCTCCCCCTTCCAGTCTCATAGTGAAAACTATGCCACACAAAGTTATAAACAAAAGGGAGAAAACCAAAAGAACTAAATTTGATGCAATTTAGCAAGGCAATAATATGTTGTTATATAATATGTCTGTTCATTGCAGTTATGCTCAACTAAACTGTGGCTCTGATTGATTGTGTTTTAAGAAACGTTTTGGTATAAAATAGTAGCAGACTGGTAACACTTCATAAACAAATACAAGTCCTGTGTAAATCAGTAGAGACAGGAGAACATTTCATCATCATTTTTGTGGTTTTACTCCCCTTCACAGACCACAGCCCTGTTAGGCTTGGTTGCCCTTGTTTTAATATAATATTAATAATAATGGGAACGTATGCTGTGAATGTAGATCAAGCCGAACTTAATTTGAACATAAATTAAATGTGACAGAGCAATGCAAACTATTTCCCAAACAGGGCAAAAGGGCACATAGCTAAAATACCTGCAGCATCTTTGAATGAAAAGTGTACTGTAAGCAGAGACAGCTGCTTGAGGTAGACACTGAAAGACCATGATACAGCAGAATTTTGTTATAAGACGGTGCTGCTTTTGTCTGCTTGGATGTGTCCAACACCTGCCTGCTTAATCTTTTCACTTGATTTACTTGCGGGCACATGCAAAATTCAATGGGGAAGGTGGCTTCTTGCCAATTTTAATTTTCTTTAAAAGGACTTTAAAAGTCCACTGTGCAGTTATGCCTAGTGCTTCCTAATAAAAAAAAATAACAGATCAGAAAGGTACTATCATTTTGAGAGCTAGAGACCTATGCAGAAAATAATTAAAAAAAAAAACATTCTTTGGCAATATTCTGCATTTTCCAGACATGAATTTAGTTATTTTTTAAAAGTATTTGGCTCCAAAAGTAAGTGGCATAATGATATTCCTGTCTTTGAGATACAACAGATGCAGAAAGTTCTGATAAAGTACTCTACAGTACCTGTGTGATTTAGTATACTGTGTAATTTGTGGTTTTTCAGGTTTTTTTTTCTCCTGTTACAAACATGACACTTTAAACCTAATTAGATTTAATTACATTTGTGGTCATTATAGTTGCATACTGTTTACAATTGTTGTATATGATAGGATAATAAATGTCAAATGAAAACTATATACAAGAAGTGTAGCTGTCATGATGGGAACATGAGGGTCTTCTTATAAAACAAAAGAGCTTTTATGTAAAGATTCCTTTTTTCCTCACCAGATATCCTACGTAGAAGTGAGACGTTGCTTCACAAAATGA